TGCTCACAGTGGTCCAAGGGATCGCTCAGGGAGTTTGTGTGTTCGCTCAGACACATGAAAAATTAGAGGGAACATTGCTCAAAAGCCTCTTTTTCTTTTTTTCTTTGCGCCTCCTCAGCTCCCATCCACACTTACATCCTCGGAGCAGCAAGCCAGGAAACGGTAAAGAATTTCCCAAATGCCGATGGCTGTGAGCTTGCTGAAAACATCACATATCTCGGTAAGCGATCACACATATTCATGATGTTTTATTAAACACATGAAACCAACATGTGACTCAGTGCTCTCATCTGTGCGTTACAGGCCGGCGTGGTGTGTTTACTGGCGTGTCAGGACTGCAGATCGCCTATGTCAGCGGTCAGGAAGCCCGGCAGGAACCGGCGCCGGCTCATTGCTTCACCTCCAAAGATCTGGTGGCCCTCATGACTCCTCTGACCAGCAGCTCCAAATTTAAAGGTGTTGACATCCTGCTGACATCGCAGTGGCCCCGAGGAGTGTGGCACTACGCAAACAACCCGGTAATGAAGACGTCTATGCTGCTTTAATTTTACTGCTTCTGACCCCACGAGATGCTGAATGGATTCTTCTGAACTCTGTTCGGCAGGAAGTGAACACAAAACTTTGTGGAAGCAACTCGATAGCCAGCCTCACAGACAAACTGAAGCCACGATACCACTTTGCAGCACTAGAGGGCGCTCACTATGAAAGACTCCCATACAGGTAAGCTGCAGAGCAGTGAGGGAGCTCACTGATGACCCTGTTAATTAATTTCTTCTGGATATCAAAGAGCCTTAAACCTGCATTATTTTGATTGGCCAGTAGGGGGTGACCCCCCTGGCAGAAGTCAGATTGATTAGAAGCAACTGTTTGGTTCTTATTTTACATTACTCCCATCTTTCACTGTGTCTATCGGCAGGAATCACATTGTTCTTCAAGAAAATGCTCAACACGTCAGCCGCTTCATCGCTCTGGCGGCCGTCAACAACCCCACCAAGAAGAAGGTGTGTTTCCCTGCAAGACAAAGAATCAGTTACATGGAGATTATGTGCATAGCTGCATTTATTAAAACTTTGTGTCAAGGTTTTCTTAAAAGTTAGGAAAACATCAAAATCTGTGATTAATAAAGTCCTTAAAAATGCTTAGAAACCACAGAGAAGTTAAAGTTTTCTTCACTGACCAATGAATCCAGTGATTGTTGTCTGTGCATGAATCCAGTGCAAACAGGAAGCCCTAATAGCCAATTCAGCTGAACTAAATTTAGACTCTCCCTGTTATTTTAAAACTCTAATTTAGACCCTGGTTCTCCTGCAGGAAATGCAGGTAACAGAGCAAATCTGTGCTAAAAGCTTCCTGCTGTGGAAAATTCTCCAGATGTGTCATGACAAGTGAAAATCTTCTTTCTGTCTGCAGTATCTGTACGCCTTCAACATAATCCCCATGAAGACCATGGACCCCGCAGAGCTTGTGAAGCAACCGCAAGACGTCACGGAAAACCCATACAGATGCCCCACGAAAGACAAGATGGACACACAAAAGACGGCCTTCAGCGCCACAGAGGAGGAGGTTTGTTTGGAGTCCTCTGTGGAGATTCACAGTCACTAGAATTCATCTTGACTGTTATCTAAATCACCTTTGAATGTGTATTTGAGGTTTTAAAGTACAAAATGTTGTTATGTGTGCCAGGAGCCAGCCAATCAGTACTTCTTCGACCTGAGCAAGAAGCAGGGTGGAGGCTTTCGGGGCCATGGCAGGAAGAGGCACTCTGATGGAGATGGGCGAGGGCGAGACCAGCAGCATCATCAGTGGCAGCCCAAGCAGCCCCGCCGGCACCGTGAGTCCAACCACACTCTGTTTAGACCTGGTTTAAGAAAGAACTCATTAGTTAGTGTGGTTTTGTGAGGTTACACAGATAATTTGTTTTCCTGTGTGCAGCTCAGCCCTCGGGTCCATGCTGGTTCTGTCTGGCCAGCCCTCAGGTGGAGAAACACCTCGTCATCAGCATAGGAACACACGTGAGTTCATGCTGTTCATAAATCCACATCACAGAAGCTCCTTCGAGACTTCGCGTAAAAGCGTTAGAGCCGAGTGAGGATGATTTGTTCTGCAGTGTTACCTCGCGCTGGCCAAAGGCGGTTTGACTCCTCGCCATGTGCTGATCCTCCCCATCGGACACTACCAGTCGGTGGTGGACCTGAGCTCGGAGGTGGTGGAGGAGATGGAGAAGTACAAGTCAGCCCTGAGGAAGTTCTACAAGAGCAAAGGAGAGCGCTGTGTGCTGTTTGAGAGGAGCTACAGGAGCCAGCATCTGCAGCTGCAGGTAGAAACACGACCAAGAAAACATGTTTTAATTCAGTGTTATTCGTATTGTTTTTTAATGATACTGTAAGGTGAATATTTTCTAATTTTGACAGATGCAGTGTGTAGAAGTGTAAAAAGTCATATTTTTCACTTTATAGAGTGCAAAATTTTACATATTTTGTTTTATCATTTCAAAATTTGAGAAAAAAAAGTTGAGTGTTTCATTTGTGCCACTTTTAATCTAAAATAACTAGCTAAAGGTTCATAACTCTGTTTTTTAATAAATTGTTTTTTTGCTTTTGTATTTTAAATTTGATTATGGAGGTACACAAGATATTTCACTGTAATAAATGATGAAGTAACACAAACTAAAACAATAAAAAGGTCAACAAAGATGTGGTAAACTTGGGCACTTTATGCAAAGCTGCTAAAATAATTTGAGATTGAGCGTAGAATTAGATAAAGTCTTTAAGTCTGCTATCGCTGACATACAAGAAGCCAGTTATTCACAAAGTAAGTCACACTTGGGCAATAAATTAGCACATTTAAACTCCTTGTATCTTTATTTAGAGTGTGATTCCTGTGATCCAAGCGCAGGAAGAGAAACGTAAAACAATTTTTATTTACTGCCACATTTGCTGATCACTATATTTATCATCTTCTTATTATTGTCATTCAGGTTGTGCCGGTGCCGTTGAACCGCTGTGCCACAGAGGACATCAAGGAGGCGTTCATGGTCCAGGCTCAGGAGCAACAGATGGAGATGATGGAGATTCCTGAACACACTGACCTCAAGCAGGTACCCGTAAACACACCTGGAGTACAGTGGTTTGGCTATTCTGGGATTTTTAACATCTATTTGAAAAGCTGAATTAAACGTGTGTGTTCAGATTGCTCCTCCAGGGACTCCATATTTCTATGTAGAGTTGGACTCGGGGGACAAGCTCTTCTACCGCATTCAAAAACATTTTCCTCTGCAGTTTGGAAGGTGAGCATCAGTCCCCATTAAACACCTTTTGTTTACCTGTAAATATAAAGAAGAGCCTCATAAAATTTCAGCACTGTCAGTGTCATCTTTTAAAGCTAAAATAAAACTGTTTCTTATGAAATGTTATGTATAAATGCAAATGTTGTCCAGATGTGTTTTTAATCACATTTGGATTAGATTATTAAAATAAAAAGAGAAAGCAGGTCATTCTGTTTATACCTGGGCTCTCTTTAAAATAACAGAATTATCAAAACGTCATCAGAAAAATTACGTTATATCAGAAAGTAAAAACAAAAGCCTCCACAGGGGGCGCCAGAGAGCTGGACAGTCAGGACTTAACATTACCCATTATGTATACACAAACCTACCTACAAACCTGTTTAAAAGTCGGGGAAAATATGCTTTGGTTGGAAGAAAATTATTTTTTAGTCTCATGTTATTCAGTAATATTGGTAAATAATTATTACCAATAATTCTGCACACTGTTAATGTGTTTTGTTCACATAAATATGCACTGATCTAAAAATGACAAATTGCTGTTTCCAAAATGTCAGTCATGAAATTTTAGGGAAAAAAACTTGATGGGAGGTCAGAATTGCACTGCGGGAGAATAATGTCAGTGTCACAGAGTAACGGTGTGGGGGTTTTTGTTTTTGTGTGCGTGCGTAGGGAGGTTCTGGCCAGTGAGGCGGTGCTAAACATCCCGACTCGAGCCGACTGGAAAGAGTGTAAACAAAGCAAAGAGGAGGAGGAGGAGAGCTGCAAACAGCTGAGAGATGACTTCCAGCCATATGACTTCACCTGGGATGAATAATTTACACACACACACACACACACACACACACACACACACACACACACCTGTACTTGTACAGTTAGCTTTGTGGGGACCATGGATGATGCAATGCATTGTGAGGACAGTTGTTGGTATAATGCATTCCTCTTCGTCTATCCTGAACATGAAAATTGAGTCAAACAGCATTTTTAATACAATGTCTTCTTGCTTTTGTTTCTACTTTTTTATGACATATTCACTGTCATCTTAACTATATCAATCCACTGTTTCGGGTGGAATAAGATTGCATAGAGTTAAAAGTTTAACTTGGTACGGAGACTGGATACTAATTAACATCTCATTTGTACCATGTGTTAGCATTAGAGTTGATTTTGTTACCTTTGGATAGAGCTGTGACCAGTCTTTATGCTAAGCTAACTGGGTTCAATTCTCTGGTGTAATGCTCAGTAAAAATTTGCATCATATCTCAAACAATTTTTTTTAAAATAAGATTTTGTTTTACAAAGCATGCGTATTTCTTTTTAATAGTCACAGTGAGGAAATGGGAGTATAACTGTAAACCTCACTGCTGGGCTGTCTGTTTTTATTTTTGTTTGGGAAAAAAATTAAAACAAAAGAAATTATGATTTCTAGCGTTTAAAATGTGAATAGTAACCCTTTTGTTGCCACCTTTTTAATCAACACGCGTGTTATGGTTTTCGAAAACAGTCTGTAGTGTAGTTTGGGGTTTTTTCCCCCCTGCTAGAAAAAAAAAAAAAAACTTGACAAAAGAGCAGAAATCTTGAGATTGATGAAATATTTAAAATTCTGAACCTGCTCAGAAATATTTTCTTATTTCTACCACACGTATGGGTAAAGTTACTTTTAATGCCTCATTTGTTTTGTAAATAAAATCAAATTTAAAACTTAATTTTGGATTGATGGTCACATTTTTTCAGTATTACCATGTAGTTTAACACACATCTCCCACTGTGCATTGCCCCTACAGAAATACAAAAATTTAAGTCCAGATAATTTTTTTATTCGTTATTTTGTAATGTAATTCTTTATTCAATTGTACACAAGTGTTAGCCAAACCTTATATTTAAAAAATAAATAAAATAAAATTGAATAACCCATTAATCTCATTTTTAATTTTTTAGAGTATGTTAGGAAAACATTTAATGCATTTTTAAGATTTGTACATTTGACTGTATTGTACCCCTTTAGCACTCAAAGCAAGCACTCCATTTAAGACAAATCTTTGTTTTAGTTCATTTATTTGACATCTTAAAGACATGAACTGCAATCATTAAATCATTTGCATAAAACTTATAAAATAAAAAATAATCAAAGCTTTTAACACGCAGCTTTAAAATAAAACATGGGTCATTAACATTCATTTAGCTGCAAAAACCCTGTTAGCTCAAACGTTTAGCAGATTTTGTAAACATAACTTAAAAAAGGATTTAAAGAAAATGGGGCGTCCACCAGGGGGCAGCAGAGTTGCAAAAGTCTCCTTTCACCTGCATATGCTCAAACCTGTCCTATTATGAAAAGTAGGTTTTTGATTTAAAAGATTGTATCAGTTATCACTTATCAGGTTACTTTGGATATAAATAACTCGCTGCAGACCCCACAGAGTGGAGGAGTTAAAGAAGCGTCATTGAAAAGGAGCCATACTCTCACAGGTCGAGGAGGCCATCCTGTACGGACCCAAGCAGCACACGGAGGGACAAATGTTGTTATTCTTACTTAAATGATTTGAAGCAGCAGCAGAGTTAAAGGTGGACGGCGTTTCATGGGTTTTTACACATAGTCCCTAGACCTTTTAATGGCACAGCAGAGCATCATGCTGAAGATCATCCCAAAGATCTGCAGAGAGTCACAAGACACAGGAATGTGGCATAAAGAAATAAACCACACTGTTTACAAAAGTGTCAAAGTTTCCATAATTGTGTATTTTGGTTATTTAAAATTTCACAATCTTGATAAGTTCATGTTAAATATTTTCTATGATAAAAATGGACCAATCCTGAAAAAAATATTACTAATTCCACCTTCTTGAATGTAAATATTTAATATTTTTCTTGTTCTTCTATGAAAGAAAATAGTCCTTGGGGATTGATTTTTTGGTGGCATCAGGGCAGGCCAGTCAAATTTCAGGGGCCAAAACAAGTAGAATGTCTTGTTAGTGTGAAAATACCACATCGTTTGGTAGCTAGCCAATAAAAAAAAAACAAAAAACAAAACCATAGCTAGTCATCATCAGACTTCATATTTAGCATTCTGTACTCATGACTGAGCCATAAACTCACCAATAAAGTGTTTGATGTCATATATGAAGTAAGTAGTAATGTCATTTTTCATAGATTTCTACACATATGAAAGTGTCTTTGCAACCACAGATGTCGCCCCTACTGGGGCCAGGTTTACAACATTTGTGAATTGGCTTTGTTTTTAATAAATAAATCACGAGCCAGACCCACTATTAGAACAATGAGACACTTGGCTTTTTCTAAACCAGCTGTCCTGACACATTTGAAAAAAAAAAAAAAAAAAAAAAAAAAAAAAGGAGGATTTCATTTTATTTATTACCACTTCTAGGCTTTGTGCCAATTTAACAACCATATGATAGCTTTACTTAAGGTTTCAGTACATGTGCATTAGTGGCAGACTCACCATAATGACTCCAATGCCGATGCCGACTCCACCAATGATGTGCAGCTTGTTATTAAACACCTCGTCAATAGCAGCGGGACAGCTCTGCAGGAGGGAAGCAGCACAGTGAAGCAAAAACAGCATAAACACGTGTGAGCTCCACATCTTATTTTAAACCAAATGTCTGGTGCAAATGTGAGCATGATTTCTACAAAGCCAGAATACCCTAGAAAAAAATGTTAGCTGTAGCACTTTTTAGGTCAGCTTTAGATCTCTTAGATCTTAAAATGTTTAAGTAAAAATTTACATGATGTGACATGAGAGGTCATCTCCCTTTTGTTGCAGTCTACCTTACCTTGGTGACGAGGACCTCCAGCCCCTCCTGCTTGGGGCAGATATCTCTGGCAGCATCGATCACTGTTCCTGTTGGACCGCAGCAGTCGAGCTGCGGGGGGGGGGGAATAGCCCACACAGGTTAGGCAGTCATCTAAGAGAGCCATGTGTTCGGTTTCAAAATAAGGAAACAAGTTGCATAAAAGGTGTCCAGGTGTGTGTTCTCACTCCAAAGTGGATGAGGCGGAGGGTCTCCTTCAGCGCTGGTTGTTTGGTGTCCTTGTAGTTGGCGTAAGTCTGTTTATAAAACTCTGTGATGTCCTCCACCACCTGAAGACACACGGACAAAGTTAACACACCTGTCAATCAACAAAGAATGTGTGCATGCATGCGAGAGACAGAAGGGGAGAGTTATTTACCCGGTCGCTGTTGGAAAGACCCCAGATCCCGGCAGCCACTTCTGCAGCGAAGATGAGAAGCAGGAAGAAGAAGAACTAAACCGGAAAACAAGAAGAAGATTTGGAGTGCAGACATGATTTTATTTGGTTATTTGGTTATCAGTCCTGAAAGGAAACTTGGAGTGGGTTTTTACTTTTATCTGTCACTTTTGTTCAAAGTTTCCTCAGCCAGTGGTAAAAACCATAGATTTATGTGTGGTGAACATAACATCAACACTTTTAAGTTGTTGTGCACCAGCTCTGCTGTTCACCTTTTCTGTGCACAGAGCTCAAATAACAGATGACTAAGGAAGAGATGACCTAAAATGTAAGTTAAAACTAAAGCCATTTAATATTTAAAATGACGGCTCGGGGTAGATGTGATCACATCCACCAATTTCATATGACCATTTCAATCGCAAGACAAAAACATTTTGTAAAAACATAACAGCGAATCTCCACCAACAGTCACATCACACCGATTGAGCTGCAGCAGCAAACACGCTTGTGGTGAAATTGAGGAGTCTTTCCTAGTGATCGGTGTGATTACAGCCCAAACATCTCTGTGAAATGTGCCAACTGAAAAATCTGAGCATGAATTCATGATTCACAGCAAAGTCACCAGTCTTTAATGTAATGCAGAAAAGTAAAACACAAAAGAAATCACTCACCAGTCCCAGCATGCAAGGCGACTCTTTGATGGCTCCGCAGCATCCCAGGAAACCCACCACCATCATCAGAGCCCCTGCTGCGATCAGGATGTACACGCCTGCAACAAAACGTTCAGATGGGCCAGAGGAAACAAGCATTCTGGGGTCACCCGTGCCTTAAAGTTCCCAAGGCCAGTTACAAACAAAGGAGACACGATTAAATTAAAACTTATGCACATGATCTCAACCTCAGTGATATCAGCACCACCTGGTTCAAAGTTACCGTTAGTCATTTCATTTTTTTGTTTTGTTAAATGGGATGCAATTCACTCTTTGATGTTCAATTCAACAGTTTAACATCAGAACTTGATGCTCCATTCTTAGGTTTGTTGTTCACACAGATTTTAAAAAAATTAAAGGATTAAGAACAGGTTCAGTTATCCACGTGACAGTTTCATGCAAGCGTATCTGAGCGAGTGTGTCTGTGCGTGTGTGGCCCCTCGCCATACCATACAAGGCATGACTTCTTATCAACCAGTCGCACCCCGTACAGGTTGCGACCTTTCAACGGACTAACGTGTAAAAAGCAGAAGCGACGAGGCTGCTTACTCCATCGTAGAAGCATAAAATCTAATAACGAGAAACATTTTATCAGCACACACACACACACACACACGCAAAATACCCTTCGGTCAATGAAAGAAAAACTCACAATGGTCACAGAAATAACTTTAACCTGACAAAAGTAATAATAAATAAAAATTCTATAAATGTTGTGCAACAAAATATTAATTTGTGGGTACCATCATTTTTTCCAGACCTGTTTCATGCATTTATTTTTTTAATAATTCAATTGAAGCATGGTTGAAAAGCAATGTCTGACTTTCATTGGTTTTAATTTATTATTACTTTTATCAGATTAAAGTTATTTCTGTGACCATTGTGAGTTTTTCTTTCATTGACCGAAGGGTACCAACAATTTTGTCCACGTCTGTATATCTTAGCACAAATGACAATCTCAAAAGCATCAACTCTAACAGAACCCATGCTTTGTTTCTAATAAAGTGTCAGTGAGTGTACAGGTGCATGTGGAAGGCTGATTGGAAATCAGCCCCGATTTACCTGCTCAAGCCTTTTAAAAATGTAAATGTACATCAGTGATTTGCATTCTGGCTCAGAGCTGCTGCCGCTCTGATTCGAACAGACACGAAGGCCTGAGAGGCACCAGAAGCTGTTTTTAATGAGGAGTTATTTATCAAAAACACCTTCAGTCACGATCTGGTGAGTGGGAATCAGCTGCAGGGAGATTTAGAGCGATGATTCGACACTTCAACGGTGACTTCATGAGGATGAATCATAAACAGGCTGTCGGATAACAACAACAGTGAGCGCATGACCCACACACACAAATACTCCTCCGAAGCCATTATTAAGATGTTTGTCATGTCAGGCCCGTCCTCCGTCTCCTCTGCCCACTTCTCTTATCAGTTTGATGGATGCGACGCACAAAGACGGGAGGGTGGGACAGTTCCTCCGGGAATACAGAAGTCTGAGAACAAAGGAGTCCCTGTGCGCGGGGAAGAATGAGCGCTATGTGTGGAGGGATCTGCCGGATTGGACGAGCCGCCTTGCTGTGGACCAACTTTGGCCTCAGCTGCCCTCCGAGTGCCCCGCCTCTCTGAGGTCAGGTTGTATCCACGTCCAGAGCCCCACAGAGCTAAATGCAGCTGTAGTGCATTTAATTTGAAATTATGACTTCCTCCACAAATATAAAGATTTCATTCTAGAAACAACGCTGTGGTTGTTAATAAACACGACGAAGTGGTTACTGGGGACTATTTTCAGCTGCA